GCAGGAAAAATATCGGTTAATTTAACTATCATTTGAGGAGGTGGAATACATTTTTTTTTTTTTTTTTTTTTTTTTTTTGTGTGGCAACGATACTTAAAACAGCTTTGATTAATTTTATGGTTTACAATTTCAAGAAATCTGGCTATGCACCGCTCGCTGTGAGGGGTGATAAACAAGTCACGATCTATTCGCACGTGTGGCAGAATTCTGAACTGGCGTGGTTTTTATTAGGAGGCGCGTGATTTTGGTTATGGCGCATGCGCAGGGTTAGATCATGGCCACACAACACTGACACTTTGTGGGGTATTGAGAGGGTGTAAGCTTACACTTACATGAGGGTGCACATAAACACAAACATATGCAAACACAAACACATGCAAACACAAACACATAAACATATGCGCACACACACACTAACACACAAACACATGCACACACATAAACACATGAACACAAAAACTAATGAACACACACAAACACATGCACAAACAAACTAATGAATATACACAAACACATGAACACACACACAAACACACAAACACATGCAGACACATAACCACATGCAAACACAAACACATACACACACAAACACACAAAAACATGCACACACACACTAACACACAAACACTGAAAACACATGGAAACACTTTTACACACACAAACACTTGAACACACACAAACAGATAAAAAACATGAACACACCAAAAACATGCACGCACAAACAAACAAACACACAAACACATAAACACAAACAACAGATAAACATATAAACACATGCAGGCACACAAACAGATAAACACACAAACACATGAACACACACAAACACATGAACACACACACTCGTGAACACATACAAACACATGAACACACACAAACAGATAAATACACAAAAACAAAAACAAAAACACATACACACACAAACAAACACTCCAACACGTGAACACACAAATACAAAAAATTACATACATGCAACACACACCAACTCACAAACATACAAACAAACAGTACTATGGCCCGACATAAACAAACAAACCACAACACTGTGTTTAAACAAAAACACATAAACTCAATAACATACATACCGGCAAACCGACACATAAACATAGTAACACACACACAATTAGACAGACACACAATAACAAACACACTAACACAAGTACACGAATTCACCAACACAAAGAAACATAAACAATAACACGCTTTCATTCATACACGTGTTGTGAAGATGTAATTAACTTACAAGAAAAAGTTTAACGATGTAAATACAACTCTCTTTCATCTTACCGTAAATAAATTATATTTCATAATTGCTGCACCCCCAATATGCTAACATAAAAAATAGAGTTGCAGATTGTTTTTTATTTAACAGACCCAAAAAAATAAACTTTATTTTAATTATAAAGTTGTGTGTTTTATAATTACCTGTTAAAGTTTTCTAAAATTGCTTTAAAAAAAATCCCAGTCCATGAAGTGGAACAGTTTCGTCCTACAGAACATCAGGCTAGTCGCCTGAAACACGAGTTAATGGGGTGGGGAGAGTTAGGGGACTTGTTGAAAAATAATTCGATGAAAACTACGAATCAATATAAATACTGGTCAGTCCACACAAGAGGGGATTTAAAAGTCCGGCTGTACTGGTACATAACTGGCTCTACTGTTACAAGACCGGCTTTACTGTTACAAGACCGGCTCTACTGTTACAGGACCGGCTCTATTGCTACAGGACCGGTTCTACTTCTATAAGACCGGCTGTACTGCAATAAGACCGAGTCTACTGTTACAAGACCGGCTCTACTGTTACAAGACCGGCTCTACAGCTACAAGACCGGCTTTACTGTTACAAGACCGGCTCTACTGCTACAAGACCGGCTTTACTGTTACAAGACCGGCTCTACAGCTACAAGACCGGCTTTACTGTTACAAGACCGGCTTTACTGTTACAAGACCGGCTTTACTGTTACAAGAACGGCTCTACTGTTACAAGACCGGCTCTACTGTTACAAGACCGGCTCTACTGCTGCCGGACTGGCTGAAGTCTACAGAACCGACCCTACTGATGGATTTATTCGATACCTGTTGCATTACTAATCAGCAGTTTAGTGTACTGTTGTGTGTAAAGGAGTAGGTGTTTAGTGTGGTATGTATTAGGGTAAGGACGTACTGCTATGTGTAAAGGGGTAGTTTTTAGTGCTGTATGTATTAGGGCAGGTGCATACTGTTGTGTGGACAGGAATAGGTGTTTAGTTGTATGTATTAGGGTAGGTGCGTACTATTGTGTGTACTTATGATGTGTGTAATAATGGAGATGTACAATGGTAAGTGCAATGGCTAGGTATGTAATATTGAATATGTAATGGTGGAGGTATCTACTTCAAAATATATCAGCAACCAAAGAGATATCTCTTTAACTCAGTAAATTAACTTGTATCTAATAACCTTGGCCCTCCCATACATAGAACTCCTTTTTTTTTTAAACACCCACGCACAATATACTTAAAAAAACAAGTTTTAATTTCAATCTAAATATTTTAAAACTAATTACAATCACGGGACCCTGGCCTGAAAGTCTGACCCAACTGGCATTGGACTGACCCCTAGATGTCAACCCCCCTCCTCTCAAGGGACACAATCTCGCCTTACTGCGTAAATTCCCATCTAATTTTTAACCCGACGTTTCTCCCCCTTGACTGTCAGGGCCCGTCACTCTAAGAAAAGTAAACCTACCCACGAACTTCAGCCAAGAGTTGTCACACATTTCCTACCAGATTTTTTTCTCTCGCTAGTTTAATTTTAAAGAAATTTTGGAGGAACCAGCATGGACTGCTAGAGACCGGATTGGCACCAGTAGCAGAACGCATGGGACACGTCTGGCGTCTTTAGCAACTAGACGCGTAGGTTTTAATTTGAGAGAATATTGGCCGTTGCGCGATTTGATACATTTAGATTATTTTTTCAATCAGGGATTTCTAATAAAATGAGCTAATGGATAGTGGGCAGAACGTATGGTTTTAAAAATATGGTGGGCTGGTAAGTGAATGTCAAGTAAGGTTAAGATAGAGTTAGTGGGTTAAGGTCATTGTTTACTTGATGAAGGTCGAGTGACATGTTTGGTGGTGGGGCAGGGTGGGGTGGGGGAGGGGGTGACAACACCTGACAGAGTTTCATCCCTTGGGTGAAAGTGGGTCGAATTATACATCTCGAGGTCACGTGTTTTAGTGGTCACGTGTTTTGTGGTCATGTGATTAGATGTCACGGACCTTAACACTCTAGAAGATTCTGACTGACATTCCAGAGCGGCCAAAACGCTGACATTCCTCTAACTCTCTGCCGCTCAAAATTTCTGACAAATCCCGATTAGATTATGCGTTGTAAGGTATTCATTATCTTTACTAAACCTGTATGGTAAGACTTTACATTCCTAAGCAAAATCTGTCTTGTAAGACATTCCTTTTACCCGACCAAATATGTCTTGTAAGATATAATTCTCCCAACCAAATCTGTCTTATAAGACATATCTTTCCCCAAACAAATCTGTCTGATAAGACATTCCTTTCCCTAACCTACCTGTCCTGATCTAATCCCCTATCACGAGGTTTCAACATGGCGTCAAGTTCAATGACCTTCCAACATAACATGCTAATTAAGTGTTGTGTCTGATGTTTTTATTAGCTAAATTATTTCTCTGAACAAAAAATTAAACGAATTTTTGAAACTTTTTATATTTAGATAACGGTGTTAATAGGGTGAAACTTATTTCTAAAGTCTCTAAACAAGTTTTTTATTTCTTTTTTTTTTAAACCGTTGTTTGATATTAAATTTCGTAAATTTTTACCGGAATACTTTTCAGTTAAAAACCGATGTTACGTTATTTATTTTTTTCTAAACCAAGCATGTAATTAAAGGGAGAAAATGTTGATAGCTAACACTTTCATGATACCCTTGTGTATGATTGAATCTAGCTAGCTAGGCGGCTGTAACTTAAAGCAAGTGTTTTTACTTAAGTATGCGTGTAATTTTTGTAATTATCCTGATGAGATTACTAGTTCATTTCCAGGATACATGTTTTAAAAATTAAAGCTTTATATAAACATTAGAATATTTCATGATTTAAAATTAATTAGGTTAGTTAAGTTTCTAAATTTTCCTAAGCGGTAGAAAGCTAACCTGCAAACCATAAGGTCTTGAGTTTGAATCCGGGTTCAAGTCAGTAGAACATCCCTGAGTTCACCCAGCTCTGATGGGTACCTAATTTATGTTAGAGAAAGTAAAGGTGGCTGGGCAAGGCGCTGATCACACCTTCACTTCATATTCAGATATCAAAATACATATGAACTCTACTTCATCTGCCCAATGGTTCTCTAGGTCTAAATAGGATTCTTTATGTACCTTTATAATTGGTACTAAAAAAATATTCTTTTCCTGCTGAACAGCAGAATCGATTTCAATCACTTCCAGATGATCTACTAATTTCTTGTCCGTTGAGTTTGATTTGATTGAATACTTCTCACGTGCAGTGGCTAACCCGCTCATTCACTCAGTTGGTTTGTACATTGGAATAAGTGCTCACACTAGCTCATTCATTCAGTTGGTTTGTACATTGGAATAAGTGCTCACGCTGCTCATGCATTCAGTTAGTTTGTACATTGGAATAAGTGCTCACGCTGCTCATGTATTCAGTTGGTTTGTACATTGGAATAAGTGCTCACCCTAACTCATCCATTCAGTTGGTTTGTACATTGGAATAAGTGCTCACCCCCGCCTTGATGGTTACGTCACGAGCTTGCACGTGTTTACCCAGAAAACACGTCACCCTCGTATTGTACATATGTTCGTGTGGTGAGCTGTGGGGGGGGGGGGGGTGGTGGTGAGGTGAGAGCAGACGATCAACTTGGTGGGTGGGCTTGCTGTGGTGTAGGTAGGCTTGATGCAGTGCATGTGGGCTTGTGGGCTTGCTATGGTGTAGGTGGGCTTGATGCAGTGCATGTGGGCATGTGGGCTTGCTATGGTGTAGGTGGGCTTGATGCAGTGCATGTGGGCATGTGGGCTTGTGGGCTTTCTAGGGTGTAGGTAGGCTTGATGCAGTGCATGTGGGCTTGTGGGCTTGCTATGGTGTAGGTAGGCTTGATGCAGTGCATGTGGGCTTGTGGGCTTACTAGGGTATAGGTAGGCTTGATGCAGTGCATGTGGGCTTGTGGGCTTACTAGGGTGTAGGTAGGCTTGATGCAGTGCATGTGGCCTTGCTAGGGTGTAGGTAGGCTTTATGCAGTGCATGTGGGCTTGTGGGCTTGCTATGGTATAGGTAGGCTTGATGCAGTGCATGTGGGCTTGTGGGCTTACTAATATGTACGTAGGCTTTATGCAGTGCACGTGGGCTTGTGGCCTTGCTAGGGTGTAGGTAGGCTTTATGCAGTGCATGTGGGCTTGTGGGCTTGCTAATATGTACGTAGGCTTTATGCAGTGCACGTGGGCTTGTGGCCTTGCTAGGGTGTAGGTAGGCTTTATGCAGTGCATGTGGGCTTGTGGGCTTGCTATGGTATAGGTAGGCTTTATGCAGTGCATGTGGGCTTGTGGGCTTGCTAATATGTACGTAGGCTTTATGCAGTGCACGTGGGCTTGTGGCCTTGCTAGGGTGTAGGTAGGCTTTATGCAGTGCATGTGGGCTTGTGGGCTTGCTAATATGTACGTAGGCTTTATGCAGTGCACGTGGGCTTGTGGCCTTGCTAGGGTGTAGGTAGGCTTTATGCAGTGCATGTGGGCTTGTGGGCTTGCTAATATGTACGTAGGCTTTATGCAGTGCACGTGGGCTTGTGGCCTTGCTAGGGTGTAGGTAGGCTTTATGCAGTGCATGTGGGCTTGTGGGCTTGCTATGGTATAGGTAGGCTTGATGCAGTGCATGTGGGCTTGTGGGCTTACTAGGGTGTAGGTAGGCTTGATGCAGTGCATGTGGGCTTACTAGGGTGTAGGTAGGCTTGATGCAGTGCATGTGGGCTTGTGGGCTTGCTAGGGTGTAGGTAGGCTTGATGCAGTGCATGTGGGCTTGTGGGCTTACTAGGATGTAGGTAGGCTTGATGCAGTGCATGTGGGCTTGTGGGCTTGCTATGGTATAGGTAGGCTTGATGCAGTGCATGTGGGCTTGTGGGCTTACTAGGGTGTAGGAAGGCTTGATGCAGTGCATGTGGGCTTGTGGGCTTGCTATGGTGTAGGTAGGCTTGATGCAGTGCATGTGGGCTTGCTAGGGTTCAAAATATAAGGCCTGATACAGTGTAGTTGAACTTGCTCACATGCTTGAGCACTTAATGCAATATATTATTTCATTGTTTAATAGTAATACACTCATTGCTGAATGCGTATTATAAAAAAATTACATAGTCTTGTTTTTTAGAGTTGGACTTACAAAAATAATTCAATAATATTTTTTCTAAAACAGATTCCAACCCTATTACTTATTCAATTGTATCCTTATCTTGCGGGCTGGGTGTGGTTGTTCTAGAATGTTATATTATTCCCTTTACCAACAAACCGACGCGTAGAAATCCAACACAGTGCACGACCTTTATGCGTTGATGAATAATTGGAATGTGAAACTCATGTTTTTTATTAGACACCCATCATTATAAATAAATCAAAAGCAACGTCCTGAAAAGATGCGAAATACAACCCTACACATCAACACAACAAAGGAAAATAAGCTTGTCGGTATTCAGGGAAGACAACCTACTCAGACAATATCACGTTATGAAATATTTATTTCTCGCTGGTCAACAAGAATTGCTTCCCTTTCCCCTTAATTAAAACCATAAACTAGTGTACAAGACCGAGTTTATATAATCTTTCCAGTTTTATAAGTGATTTCGAGCAAGGATCAGTTTTAAGATATAAAAGTATTGTTAACAATCGTTAAATGCTAAGAAACTAAATGGCTCAATAGACGATTAAATAATTGCTTAGGAAAACAAGTCACAAGGTCTGGCAAGCAAGCTGAGAATAGCCAGTTAGTACCAATGAATCTGGCAACCTCTCCACACATCTGATGAGGGGAGTGGCGTTACCTTTACAACATGGCACCAGATGTGTCGCAGGAACTATCGAATGGAAAACAGAGTTGGTAATTTATCGCTTAAATTTTATCAACTCCTCTTTGATTTCGGAGTTTTCTCTTCTAGACGGGTTGCTGTTACTAGCTTTTGTGCCTCATCTGACCCGAGGTTCGAACTCGGGACATGGTTTACCGACCCCATCACAACACCCTCATAAATAGAATGGGGTTTTTATAAGAAGAATGTGTGAATTAAGTTTAAACGAAGATTGTGTCAGGCACAGTTAGGCACAGACTAGCAGTTGAATTGTCACTAAGATTGTGTCTTTTGAAATGTCACTGACTATATTATGTTTGTTGAATTATCACTGACAATATTATGTCAGTTGAAATGTCACTTACTAAGATTGTGTCAGTTGAAATGTCACTGACACATATTTAGATTAAAATGTTACTGACCGACAATGTGTATGTCGGACTGTCATATTCCTACTATCTACCACATCCCACATAACAACCAGATTCTAAAACATATCTGGTTCAACTTTGTGAAAGATAACAGAACATTAGATAATAATTAACATTAGGAAATAGTGTCGTTAAAATGTCATCTAAAAATCGTGCGTCTGTGAATATTTGTATGTGTCATTTCAAAAGATACTTCGGTTTTAATTTGTCTGGTGTTTCGTCACTTCAACATTAAAATGTGTGGGTTATTTCATCAACACATAAGTCGAAACATATTTATTTTTATTTCCTAACCACAAGCATTAACCTTTTATTCATATTTTCTATTATATTTATAACGTCAGCACTTGTTTTATTTATACATTTTTCGTGTGACTCTTTACCATATTGGTCATAGTTTAGATGGACATAGATGATTAGCTGAAGCCAAATTTATAGTCAGGCTGGTCCAGCTAAGTCCAGATTTTAGTGGGCTGGATTAGCTGAAGCCCACCTTAGCGTGAAGCTGGTTTCACTAAAGCCCACCTTAGCGTGAGGCTGGTCAAGCTGTAGCCCAGATTAGCGTGAGGCTAGTCTAGCTGAAACCCAGCTTAGCGTGAGGCTGCTTTAGCTGAAGCTCAGCTTAGCGTGAGGCTGCTTTAGCTGAAGCTCAGCTTAAAATTAAGCTGGTTTAGTTGGTTTAGCGTGAGGCTGGTTTAGCGGGCTTAGCGTGAAGCTGGTTAACTGCACGTGTTGGTTAAATACACCTGACACGTGACTTGAGTTGGAGTGCCAGGTTTGATTTGAGGCTGAGTTGCTCAAAATGATCGAGAAGGCTGTTAAAGTTGACAGGTTTTAATCAAGACGGAGGGGGGGGGGGATACCAGCTTTCTGCAACAAGAGGTCTGCAGACATTTTAAACAAGAGTAGGTGGGTGTTTAGTCAGTTGTTGAAATAAGTTTCATCAACATTAGGTGTAGCAGGTTTCTGAATGGGTTTTCTGATAGTTGATGTATAGCAGGTTTCTGAATGATTTTTTATTAGGTGATGTATAGCAGGTTTCTGAATGAGTTTTCTAATAGATGATGTATAGCAGGTTCCTGAATGACAGCAGGTTTCTTGAGGTTTCTAATAGTTGATGTATAGTAGGTTTCTGAAGCAGGTTTCAACATGTAAGGGTAGGAAAAGATTTTTCTACGACGGTTGAGACTGTTGGTGTCTCAGATTGCGTGGGAAGCATGTTAAAAAATAATTTTAATGTTTCACTGATTGTAAGCCCGAATAGAGTGGTATCCAATTATTGGGGTGATAACAATCTAATGATTGTGATAAAAATCTAGTGATTGTTTCAAATGCAGGTTGAAACCCCAGTTCCCTCCATTAATGACGAAATAATTAATAACTTTGCGTTTTAAATAAAAGTAATTGATACGGTTGAAAGTGAAACGAATGCTTGATTGCATCAGGAGAATTAGATCGTTTAATATCAAAAGTCTTGGTGTATTTGAGCACATGATATTCTTTGATCAAATGTCAAGGTCTTTTAAAACTTGGGCAACCCGATTGTGACGTAACAGAGGGAGTCACCCATCCCACCCCCCATCCCAACTAATTATTTTGCATTTTTCGGTTTGGTGTCACCCCTCTCCCTAGTTTTTGTTATCTCAACTTGGTAAACTTTGTTTAGACAGTAAACTTTAGTATTTTTAATCGTGGTGTCACCACCTAATCAGTGTCACCCGGTGCGGATCGCAACCCCCCACCACCGCCGTGTGACGCCACAAATCATCCGCCCCTTATCGTAACGGTAGAGACTTCAATTAACAATTTCAGTTTTCAATCGTTATATTCATAATTTCGTCGTATACAAGCCACATATATAACATATAAACTTGATTTTGATTCTCCAATTTTTTAAAAACGCGGTATAATATATGTCATACAAGTTTAAATCCATTTGATATTGATTTTATTTTCACATAACTGGTTCCTACTGGTGGATAAAATATCCACGCGATATGCTGGTTGTAAAACGTCCTAACATTTACGATGATAAAATGGTCCAAAATATGGGATAAAATAAATATTTTATAGTTATAAAATAGCCTAAGCTTACGAATGATAAAAATGTTAACATATCGAGATAAAAAATAGTGTAAAATCACGAAAGATAAAATATCCTAAAATTATCGATTTTCTTCTTAAACGGTCTTACAATTAAGTGCGGCGAATTATAAATACCCAACCCCACCCCCCACTAACACTTTTAAGAATTGTATTTCTTAAATGTTTAATTATTCAGAGTACACATTCGAATGGAACTACACATATTAATTCGTAACCTGCTTTAGTTTGAATAACTCTGGTCAATGGCACGCCAGCCATTTAAAAATAGGTTCAACCTTGACCCTCCTTGCTTATTGAAGAACACTTTATTTGCCCTCGACGTCAAAAGATATAAAATTCCTTTAAATCCCTGACGTTCAATGTTCAGTAAGCTAAAGGCGACATGCAATAAATCTTATCAACGTGTAAGGAGCTGCCATATCTCTGGATGAAGAAAAAAATATTATATATAGCTTATGTATAGAACGGAGTTGTATTGACACAGCTTTCATCTGTGTTGGGGAGTGAAGGGGAGTGGGGAGGATTGTAAAAAAAATTCAGCTTCTCAAACTCTCGCAGGATTGGAAAACAAACGTGGCTTTTTTTTAACAATTGCGCTAGACGTTCAAACATGTGCGATGAGGGATATTTTACTCCAGGTTGAAACATGCATAATACAAATTAGGCTCATTTGGTTGGCGTTTTTAACAGTTGCCCTAACACACAGTGGACAACATTCTGAAGGTTTTCTTAAACAATTGCACTAACATAGAATGGACAACATTCTGAACGTTTTTCCTCAATAAGTGCCTTAACATAGAATGGAAAACATTGTGAAAGTTTTTTTCTTTAACAAGTGCTTTAAAAGTACATGAAGACAGAATACTTTAACGTTTGCATTAAACACCAAAAATGTGCATTTCATTGAAGTAGTTTTGCTCCAAGTTACGAACATTCAAGTTATAGAATGTCTGTTTGTTGAAAGGTAAGATTCAATAAAAATATTCAATGATTGGAAACAAAATCTACTTCATGGACATAACTATTTTTTATGTGCCCGAGTTTTTATTACACAAACATAAATTTTAATAATGGCCGTGGGCAGTTTTGATGTGTTTGATTCTGGATTTAAGCGGATATATTTTTAGACAACGACCAACCAATCGTCTACGGAAAAGATTATAAGGATATTTTATTTATTTTATTTGATGAAAGAAATGAAAAAAAACGTTCAATTCTGTTTTGCTCTTTATACACGGTCCTTCTTTATTGTTTGATGGGCATTTTGAACTGGCTTTCATGTGTTTCATCTACATAACAAAACTCTGAACATCTTGGTTAAAATACAGCATGTAAGAATTGAATTTTAAAACAAATTCAATAGCATCTGTAGCGGCTCTTCAAAGACTTGCAAGTGAATTACAAGGAAATTTTAAAGTGTGGAAATGTTTATAAACTATCATTTTAGTGCCAACAATATTTATAATCTCATATTGAAAATATAGTTTTTCTTGACCGTAAAACTAATTGCATCTTCTTTATTGGAACAGTGTTCCACTTTCGGCGTTGCCGATGCTTAAGGAAAATTATATTTAAAGTTGCTTTTAATTTGTTTTTAGTTTTTTTTTAAAGAA